CAGAACCACATCCTGCTAACGTGAGGGCGCTATTTATGATTCAGAACCACATCCTGCTAACTTGAGGGCGCTATTTATGATTCAGAACCACATCCTAACTTGAGGGCGCTATTTATGATTCAGAACCACATCCTGATAACGTGAGGGCGCTATTTATGATTCAGAACCACATCCTGCTAACGTGAGGGCGCTATTTATGATTCAGAACCACATCCTGCTAACTTGAGGGCGCTATTTATGATTCAAAATGATATCCTGATAATGTGGGGGCGCTATTTATGATTTAGAATAATATTCTGCTCATGTGGGGGCGCTATTTTTGATTCGGAAATTATAACAGCTGAGAAATGAAGCACTTCCAAGATAAGATATGCATCGCTATGTGAAAAAATAACCGTTGCGACCTTTAGAAAACCAATGCATACATCCATACCACATATAAATGTATAAAACATTTTTTAATTACTTACAAAAATAACTGATATATTTCCTAGTTCGTGCATCAGCAAAGTTCATTTCTGACCAAAGGACCCTCTGTTGCCAAGAAAATTGCGCCCTCTCTTGGTCAAGCTTGGGGCTCAGTGGACTCTGAAACATGATGCATTATCTCTCATTGTATTAATGAAGTAAACACCTGGCTGAAACTTTCAGAGACAAAAAATATCTGATCTTTTTATTTTTTTGAGTAGTATGTTGGTAAGCAGTACAATGCCGCTATAATGAACAAGGCAGGGTCAATACACAATGTTTGGTGTAGCATACCTCCCCAACTGTTCCAATTTAATTGCGTAATATTTCAAAGGCCTAAAAATTGAACAATTTTTTTTGAAAAGGAGAAAAAAATTCTTGCAAGACGGCACTCTTTGCTGTGTCGTAAAATAGTAGTTCTGATTTTTGAATTTTCAGTGTTGAATCTTAGCTTTCTAGTCATCACCATCAGTCTTAAATTTGCTTCTTTAATTTTAAAGCAATTTTCAATGTTCAGTAAAAGTGCATGGAAAATTTGGGAGCCAAGGGCCCTGGTCTGTATGTCCAATTGTTCAGCATAGTCACATTGTACTGTATTCATGACATCAGGGGTACTTTTGTACATTCAGTTTGGTCAGACACAGTCGATCAGATTGCTTTGAAACAAAACCTATTGTTCACAAATTAGTTTATATAACTTATCATAATGCATCTACTTTCATATTTACCCACATTTAAATATTCATGTGTACGTAGGTTTTCAAGATACTCCACTCCAAAAATTCCAATAATGTATTTGTATGAAGACGTTATTACCATTTTGAAAAACTGTAGACATTTGATAGACAGGACTCGCATGAAAGTTTGTACCTCTTGCATGCTTTGAACATAGCCAAAGTTGCACATAGCCAGAGCATTAGAAAAAAGAAATATAGAAAATAGAAAAAAGTCTGACTAAAAATTATCACAAAATAGCAAGTGACAAATTGTTGGCTCAGTGCTAATAGGTCATTAATGAAAAACTGTAATTTTTGAAAAAAGTCTTATTCTCGGCATGAAAAAATCTTTTAATGAAACAAACATTTAACTTTTAGTCATAAAACTAGTTTTTCTTACAGCTGACATATATAAATTTCAACCAAATTTCATTCTCAAATTGATGTTTACAACAGTATTTTTCACCAAGTACCTTTCAGCACTGACACAAAATTTGTTTCGTTTGAAAATATTGCCTTCCAAAAATGCCTTTGTATGTGAAATAGTCACCACTTACTGCTGTAACCACTTAATTTCTATTTGCAAGTGAAATAAATGTTTATTTATTTAAACTAACAGAACAAGTTGTTTGTATAATCTGTTTGAGAAATGTATTGCTTTGCCACTTAGTCATTCCCCAGTCTTAACCATCTCACACTGCCAGAGTTACATCTGTTTCCCATCTTTAGATTTTACATTACAGCCTCATCCTAAGCCCTGCCAGTCTTAAACATCTTCCAAGCTCCTTATAAAGTTCCCCCTTAGAGCCTTTTAGTCTTAGTCCCACAAGGGCTACAATGAACCAACTGGCAATATGGAACATTAAGAAGCTATGTCCTTCATCAACCCTATGAGATCCTTGGAGCTTTAATACTGATAGTCCCATGCCCTCAGCCATCTACTCTACCCTTCC